TGGGGGAAGGGGGGTCCTGAAACCTGGATATTAGAAAATAAAATGTTTAATCTTTTTTTAATTACGTTCTGAATCGACTAGTCGGCCGCATGGCATATTAATTAGAGTGTATGCTCTCGAGTCGCAGACTATGGAGTTGATCCTTACGTCGCGGGTTCGAATCCCACTGCGGGATGTAGAGACCGGTCCTTCGGATGAGACCGTATAAACAGAGGTCCTATGTAGGTGATGGCACAAAAAAATTCTCACTGTTTAATCATCTTCATTGACCCTGTAAACCCAGTACAAATTTAAAACTTGCAGCCCTCCACCGGCAAGTAGTGGTGTCTCAAAATGAATGAGAAATTTTTTGAAAGGATTTTAAACAATCGAACAATTTACAAAACAACATTTTGAATCATATATTACATGAATTCTAAATGAAAATGAGGCTTCTGGTGAAATGAATGATTTACAGAAATTGAGACAAAAGTTGAAAATATTATTTAATTTAGCATGAAGACACGCATAATTGATAAGTTCAATGCATGTAAATTTTTCACTTTTCATAAAACTCTAAAAAATTTAGTGAGGCATTTGCCTCACTTGCCTCAATGGTAGTTACGGCCTTGTTATGAAGTTTTGATTAAATAGACTAAGTTATCATAATTGGAGAGTGGAAGCGTAATTGTGATAGGATATTCATCAGGGTCATTTTTCGACAAGTTTTCAGTCGCTTTTATTTATTAACGACTTTTTCAAACTGAAATGAAGGAACTACAATATCATATAACTCATCTGAACACAGACACGCGTTTATATTCACAAATTAAAATATGAGTAACTTGATAAAAAAGGGTAGATTTACATTATGTCCAATGATCCTTTTGCATCAGTGGACCTTTTTGACGTCATAAAACCAAAAAAATCAAGAACGATAAGTGAGTAAGAAAAGTAACAAGTGGGATACTTTTTATCTTTATTTTACAGCAGAACAAAGGCCGGAAAATATAACTACTCGTAACTTAACTTTCTTTCATATGTAGCTTTGGGTTTAAAAAGTTTAACTATGGTGTTAATAATCGTTTTCTTCGACCTTTAATCCAAAGAGCTTACAGGCACAAAAAAATTCGGCATGCTGCAACTGCTCTGAAGTTTTTCTTACACACACGCTCTTTAGCTACAACGTTTCCTCGTCTTGGGGGAGAATAGGGTCCGCCTGCTTTACATCACACCCCAGCCTTTTGTCGATTAGGGATTTCATCCTTGCGTCAACTAACCCGAATTCAGCAAATTCTCCATTAGACTCATCGAGGAAATTCTTGTCGTGTACCCCGTTGTCCTTCTAAAATCGCAATAGTCCGCACAAAATCAAGAAGATTGATCTGGGTGGGTATTCTGTACCATCTTTATTACGGGCTTCCATTACAAATCGTGCTAACCACAAATTCATCTGTTCTGAAGTCATATGGTTAAGATCGGGAATGTCCGCTCCTCTACTTGCCCGTCATTTCTCAAATAGGTTCATTGCCAATTTTGTGTTTTTTTTTCGTATGTACATTTTCTTGGTCTTTTATCAGATTCTTAATATCCATATCACTCACCGGTTGAGCAACCCGACTTTCGCTTAAAGCAATGTCTTTCTTTTCGATTTCCATCGATGAGCTATTGTCATTGCCAGGCACAGGGGATAGGGAGAGGTCGATCAATCCTTCATATGCATTTTCGAATTCTATCATCTCACAAACTTGAGATAATGTTATATCATCGACTTCGTAGATTAGGAATTCATCAAAAGACAGCAAGTCTGCCAAGTCTAGCAAGTCAGAATCGCTGCCCAGCTCAAATTCTCCAAACGTGTCCTCATATTCCATCGCAATGCTACAGTTTTTGCGCGCTCTTTCAACTTTTATTTAAATATTACACAATTCAAGTAATCTGATTGGCCGAACAGTGATATACCTTTATCTGATTGGTTTGTTCAATCGAGGGATATACCGAGGCCCCGTGTCACAGCAGGTGTTGCACGATAAAGATCCCTCCCTGATCAAAAGCCGTAAGTGCCGAGCATAGACCTAAAGAACTATATGCGGTATATTGCATTTATTTGCCCCCACAAAAGTAAAATTTTGAAAACTTCCTGAAATGTGCTGAATTCAATAAATTGTATGAGAAATATAAATTAACAGAAAATATTAGAGTTTCAAAGCAGTGTATTCACAATTTTTGTTTTAATGACGTCACAAACAAGTCCGATTTTATATCATTTTTCAGAAAGAGGACAAAATGTGATACTTCTGGACTTTTCAAAGGCTTTTGACAAAGTCCCCCACCAACGTCTCCTACTGAAATTGGAGCACTACGGAGTGTCAGGCACCACTCTAGGCTGGATAAAGGACTTCCTAAGTCGGAGAACCCAATCAGTGGTACTGGATGGGCATACATCTTCACTTCTTCTTGGATGTCCTTTCCGGAGTGCCACAAGGAACTGTCCTGGGACCACTCCTTTTCCTAACCTACATAAATGACCTTCCTGAGTGCACCAAATCAGACGCCAGACTGTTTGCGGATGACTGTCTCGTATATCGACAGATCCGAAACCAGAGAGATGCAGACAAATTACAGAAAGATCTCACAGCCTTAGAAGGATGGGAAAAGAAGTGGCAGATGTGCTTCCATCCCGAAAAGTGCACAGTCATTCGGATCTCCAACAAAAGACAACCACTGCAAACATCATACACCCTGCATGGACATCAGCTGGAAGTGGTGGAGAGTGGGAAGTATCTTGGTGTTACCATCTCCAAAGACCTACAGTGGAACAACCATATACACACTAAGATAGGGAAAGCTACAAGAACTCTGGGCTTCCTGAGACGAAACCTTGGCCAGTGCACACCAACAGTTAAAGCAACAGCATACTGTACCATGATCAGACCATCGATCGAATATGCGTCACCAGTATGGGATCCCTACCAGACCAACTTAACAAAGGATCTAGAGCAGGTACAACGTAGAGCGGCCAGGTTCGTCTTTAATCAGTACACGGATACCTCCCCCGGGTGCGTAACATCTTTACTTGAACAACTAGAGTGGGACTCACTCCAGCATAGGAGAACAACACATCGACTAGTCCTATGCTTTAAAATAAGGAATCGCCTGGTGGACATCAACCCAGACAAGTATTATACACCCGGGGACAGAAGAACTAGAGGTAGCCATAGATACAGACAGCCTCGTGCCACCAAGGAGGTCTACAAGAATTCATTCTTCCCACGGTCGGTGAGAGACTGGAACCGCCTACCAGAGGAAATTACAGCAGCCCCTACTATACAGGAGTTCAGGACTGGACTAAACAGCGTCCCCTGGACCCAGCTGCAACCCTGGTAGACAAGACAGCCACATTGTATATAGTTTTAACCGTTTTTAAAGAGGAAGCCTCCTGTTTTTAGCCGAGCTGGAGTTATTAACACTCTGTATAGAGTTCAACTCCCTACCGAAAGAAGAAGAAAATAAACAAAATTTCAACAATTTTAGCTTTAAAAGAATGAATCGTTTAAACGTCCACATTTGGCCTCCCCCCAAATATTTACAAAAAAATAACTTTAAGATTTTCTTCATAATTTTGCCCCAACCTTTCCATTAAACATTGTAGTTTATTAATTTCAACTTAAAAATTTGCTTTCATAAACTGTAATTAGGTATTTTTTCTGATTAATAAAGCAGGGGTACATTGTTTACATCAATTACTCATAGACTTTAGGCCACACCCCCATTTTATAAGCCCATTTTTTATATGAGCGCATCGATGTTTCAATTTGCCGTTTTTATGGACAATGTAAAAAGTAATACTAATCATTTACATCCATGAAAGAAATTGAAACAATCGTGCGCTCATGTGTTATTTTCCCAAAAACCTCAAAATCACGGGTACTTGTCTCTATAGTAAAGCTACCTTGTTTACTTTATAGAGCGCAAGTTTGTTCAGGAACAATATCAATTGACATATTTCATTGATATTATCATTCTACACATTATATCAAAATATCAATTCTGAACACACATGCGCTCGGTGACTTTTCCTCAAAATATCGACGGAATATGTACATTTTTCTGTAAAATTCATAAAAAACTGAAATTTACGTCATGTTTGTGACGTCATTGCGTACATATGACGTCATTACTTATGAAAATATTCAATGCTTTGAAGTCAGCATATACTCCCCTGTTTAATAACTTAATTTAATATATCTCCATCAAAGTTTGAATTTTGGGGGGTTAATATTGGTTATTACCGAATAAAGTTCTTTGCGATCCTTCACCGGCAATGGTGACGTCTCCATATCAGTGAAATATTCTGGAGAGGGACGTATACAATTAATCAATCAATCAATCGACGGAGCATTTTAAAACACAGACGTCATTAAGGGGTAGTGTCATAAGATTTACTTGTATCATGATCAGAGATACAGAAAGGGGCCCGCCTCGAGCTGTCGCTCTCGCCTTAAGCCCCTATATCTCTGATACAGTAAAAAAAGCTAGTACTCTAAATATAACATGGACACCGTGAGTTATATATTGTATACATTTACTATACGCTGCAGCAATTAGCTAAAACAATCAGAGGTAACAAATACGAATTATGGTTTATATTTGCATGTAATAATAGAGGAGATAGGAAAAACTAGTATAACGAGTGCCTATGCACAAGTACATGTATATTCAGTGACTTAAAATAAATCGATGGAATAACTCTTGTATAGTTGCCCAGTGTTAATACATTCATAAATTAAAAAGCATAGAAAACAAAATTATTTTACCTGGAGTAGTTGCCAGTTGTTTTTATATTATTTTATTTATCATTTATTTAAGATGTGTGTATTTTATTGTGAAAAGCTTTATCTGAAAATGTCAAAGCAGTTTGTGAGACCCAAGCAATGCTTATAGATATATGAGCTTTTTAGATTGTTCTTTTGAACAAAATATCTTTAATGCAAACCAAATAATTTTTTCTTTAGGCAATAGATCGACTAAGCCAAGGAACACTTACCAATCAAACAAAGTCATTGTTGACAATGAAATTTGATAGATCAGCACAACATGGAATCATGGATGAGCTAACGCAAATGGGTAGGAGGCTCTTGGATCTGCAAAGAGAATGTCATATCCCTGGTCATATTAGAGGTAAATAAAAAACTCAATTAACGTACTATGTGTTAACGACTTACATTAATAGAATTTCAAATTGACGCGTATCATTTTTGTAAAATGTAAATGAGGTTAATGGGTTTAAAAATGAATCAGTAATATGCATCTTATTCTAAATATTTTAGAAAAAGGCAATTGTAATGATCTGTGTCTAATTATGTATATGCTATTATATTTTTAACCTTATACATTTTATGAACTATTGAAAACAGAACAACATAAGCAAATACTGCAAAAATGGACAATTGATGGCGAATCCTTTCAAGAAACAAGGGCAAGTAGGAAAGCAAGAGAGATAATTGAAGAGAGAGGAGTTTTGTTTATCTTTGGTGGTCCAGGCAGTGGGAAGACCTTCATTGCAAGGCATTTAGCTATTCAGTTTCAGGCACAAAAGTGGGAAATCATTCCTGTTAGAAGCCCTGATGAAATCCGGCAGTATTTGTATCCTGTGATAAATCAACTTTTTGTTCTCGACAATCCATTTGGAAGCTTCGGTTTAGATATGTCAAAGCATGAATGCTTCATAGACATCTTTGACTATCTTCCTTGTATCTCAAAAACATCTACAACAAAATTAATATTTACCTGCAGGAAAAATGTATATGTAGAATGCAAAGATCTGGAAATTTTCACTATAGAAGGGGAAAGTACGATTGATATTGAAAACGAAGAATATCACCTAAATAGCGAGGAAAGATTAAGAATTCTAGAAACGTACTGCATTAAAAGAAATATTCCTAAGGTTAATTATGACCAGGTTTCTGTTGAAAACAACTATCCAATGTTCCCTCTTTTATGCAGTTTACTTCGTAGTGACACTGACATACAGCAAAGTCTTGATCATCCACATGAATGCTTGCGAAGGGAACTATTGGTTATGAAAAAGTATGATGCAGTAATGTTTGTTGTTCTGGTATTATGTGTTTTTCGAAATAATGCATGTACAGATGGATTCATTGATAAGAACGAAGTATTATTATCAGAAATACTATCTAATTGTGGACTGAGTAGTAACACGTCTACATCAATTGTGCGTGAAGCCTTTACTAAACTTCAAGGAACATACCTTTCGGACACGAAGGACAGGATAATGTTTATCCACGATTCAGTATTTGAGGTTGTAGCTATTATGTATGGAAAAGAAAATATAAAACATTTTCTCGATAACATATCTTTTGAATACCTTACGAATAATACTAACATTGTGAGGTCGAAAACAGTCAGTTCAAATCCGTCAATCCTACAGCTACAGTTGGAGGATTATTCGTATTTATCAGGACGAGTATATTATGAGCTAAGTCAATTAAATTTCTTTTCTGTTTTCGGATCCACAAAGTCTTTCCTGAACGACAAAAACTTTCTGGCATATTTTCTTCGCTATCTGGATGATATTTATTTTCCGGAAATCAAAAATATGTTTTTGATAGATCATGTGTACAGTTCGAAAATGTGTAATTTTGAGGATGTATATACATTTCAAGGGCACAAAAGCTTGCGTCATAGAATACTTGTAAGTCATAGCGCTGATAAAAATATGCAAAATGTACGAGCATTGAGCTGGGTATTGGCATTCGGTCACTCGGGGATACTGAAGTATTTGCTAAAAAGACTTGAACTGAATAAATGTGGCAATCTCAGAATAAACGAAGTTCGGGATCTGTTCCTCACAAATGACCATCTAGAGCAAACAAGATTATTAATGTTAGCTTGCTTAAGTGGGGAGTTAGAAATTGTGCATTTTGTGATTCAACACTCCGAAAGTGTATGTTTGCAGACTGAATATCCCCCTGGGGTTTATGTTCCAATACTTGTCAGTTGTCTAACGCCATATACGTACGTTGTAGAGGCTCTTATACGTGCTGGATCAAATGTTGATGCCACAGAAAACGCGTATTATAATGTACGTGATACTGCAATTTCAACTGCTGTAAAAAATAAGCAAAAGGCAGTCGTTGAGGTCCTCATTAAATACGGAGCCGATGTTAACAAGTGTAACGCAAATGGTGAAACACCATTAATTATTGCGTCCCGAAGTGGAAGCTTAGAACTTGTTAAACTTTTAGTTGAAAATGGTGCTGATGTGGAATTATGTGATGCGAAAAATAAATTACCTTTATATTACGGAATCAAAATTTGTCAAACTCAAATTGTGAAATGCCTTTTAGAGAACGGGGCTGATTTGAGCAAGCTTATCGATGACAACCAAACCGTATCGGTTTACGAATTGCAGTTAATTCAAGGTGAACTTGGTCTTGCTCACAATATCATAGATATAATGTACAGAGCAGCTGAGTGTGGTCGTATAGACGTTTTAGATTACATAAAGCAACAGAAACAAGAGGGAACACTTTCTTACTCTAAAGTTGACCAGCTCTTGTACGCAACGTGTGAGAATGGTCAATTTGAAGCAATGAAATATCTAATCAATGAAGGTTATGATGTCAATTATTGTGATGAACAACATACGATCCCTTTGTGTGTTGCTTCGGAACAAGGAGATGTCTCCATTGTATCTTACCTACTTGAAAATCTAGCTGTTAATCCAAACCAGACTGATATCCATCAAAAATCAGCGCTTCATTGGGCAACAGAAAGGAATAATCAGGAGGTTGTTGAATATTTACTCAAAAAAGGAGCCTCAATAAATATTCTTGATGAAAATAGGGCGTCTCCTTTACATTATTCATGTTCTGAAGGGAATTACGAATTGGTGCATTTTCTTCTGACTCATGATGCCGACATAAATATGATTATGAATGGAGGGAACACGCCTCTCTTTTGTGCTTTTAAAAATAGACGACTGAAAATCATAGATCTTCTCTTAATACACGGTGCAGATCTTCATACACGAGATAACAAAACGGAATCTCTTTTACATTTGGCGTCAAAGCTTGGGGATATTCGAATTGTGCAAAGATTGATTGACCTAGGCTGTCAGGTTAATATATGCGAAAGATATTACGGATGTTCACCGTTATCAATTGCGATAGACAGCGGCAATTTTGAAATGATGAAATGTTTGGTGATAAATGGAAATGCAGATACCAATCTATGTGATGAAATGAGTACCTCTCCTTTATTGAAAGCATCTGAAATGGGTAATAAAGACATTGCCGAATTTCTTTTAAAGAATGGGGCGAATGTGAATCTTTCTAATCTGTTTCATCAGACACCACTTCATATGGCAGTACTCAATAGCCATAATGATGTTATAACACTTTTGCTAAAATTCGGAGCAGATGTCAATTTTGTTGATAAATTCAGTAAATCTCCTTTTGATTATGCGAACGACGACATTTTACACGAATTCTTGAATGCATTACCCATCAACCAGCTTGCTTTCATAGGTACTCGTTTATAATTCTATCGGTATTTTTGAGAGTACGGATTTATGTAATGGCATCTTTAAATGAACGATCCTTTCATTGTTTTCTGCACCATACTGAACTTTGGCGCTTTAAATCATCGGGGTTTTGCGCAGATCTAGACCATTATACCTTGACGTGACCATCGGACCTTGGAGTCCATTCCATCTTTTCTGTCCCCAATTTATATACCATATACGTAAAATATTTAGCGAGGATTTAATTTTGGCATTATTAGCGAGGGTCCTGAGATCGCTAAAGAACAAGGTATGGTTTCCATACAAATTTTGCCCTGAGATTTTCCGAAAAATGAAACTGGTGTAAAAGTTGAAAACTCATGCTTTTTTAATAATTGAAATTCAATGCAGAAAAATCACAAAAATCATTTTTCTCACATGTGTTTTTAAATGCTAATGATGACGTCATAAACTTGTGCATTTTCCCGTATTTTCTTAAAAAGTTGCAAAAGACACAAATTTTCAATGGAATTTTCTTTCAGAAAACATTGTCCACAGGCATCGCCCACAAAGATCTTGAGATATGTGATTTGTTATTGAATTTTGCACAAAATATCAAAAAATTAACGTGGGCAACGGCTGTGGACACTGTTTTCTAAAGGAAAATCGCCCTTGAAATGGGCCATTTTGAGGCTTTTTCTGTTGAAAATAGAGAAATGCTTCACGTTAATGACGTCATATTCGCAGAATGGCAAACCTTCATGCCATATTCTTTCCTGATTTATCACAGTCATATATTTAACTAATATTTAAGCCAGTTTCAAAACTTTTTGATGTAATTACATTTTTAGGGCGCAATAATGCTAAAACCATACCTTCTTCTTTATATATAGCTTAAAATTAATTGCATTTTATGTGTAATAGCTCCTTTAGTTAGCATTTTAAAATCGCTGAAATTACCTCTCGCTAATTATAAATTACCAATTTTTAAGAAGAAATCGCGAAATTTGCGTCTCGCTAAAATTTCCACCTATACAGAAAATAACACTTATAGCAATCTATGTAAATACAAGTAAACTCTAGGTTCTGATAGAGTATTCAATTCAATATTAATTTTGCTGCTTTTGCCACTAAACGCTTAACTTATGTGACCAAAATACAGATATATCCTAAAATATTCAAATTGTAAAATGTCATGCATTCGGAAAAAATTTTTTAGCGTGATAATGATTTTGAATAAGATGTTATTTTAAAATACTCCCAAGCTTAATATGTCTGTTAATTCTTAAATGGGGTCATTATACTTCACGTTTTCGAAACTTGTATACCCCCTGGCAATCAAAGCTATCCATTAAATAAAATGTAAAAGCTAATTAAAACAATTTGATCCAATAGAACTACTAGATCAATTCTAACGGTACTTAAAGGGAAATGTGTTTAAATGTGTATACATTAAATCTGGGCTAAGACTAAATATATCATTTAAAAATTAAACATAAGCTAAATTACCATCCTTATCTTTTATTTTCTGTTACTTACTAAGTAGTTGTTATGACTGAATTGTTATTTATTCATTTTCATCTGTTATTTCTTGTTACTTTATAGATAATATTTTATTCTTATTTGTAGCTTCCAGTGTAATGCGGAAGCCCTGGAGGGACGCCGATTTTTTGTTATGACTTTTTGTTGCCAGATATAACTAATTAAGTGTAAGTGCTCAGTAGCTACGTACTACTCGTGGAAAATGGGTATTGAATTAACAAATAAGTCAAAATAATAGATGTCAAAACACCTAACAAGTAAGTCAATGTCCGTCCAGGGCTTCTGTAGGTTTCCGAGTTAAACATTTTAAACCTATGCGTATTTACTGTTTTTTTAATGAGAAGAATAAGATTATATATGTATTTTATATTCTTGCATTATCATTTTAGCAAATGGTCAAATTGTTATAAATATAATCAACGAATCCTTGATAGTTAAAAAATAATAAAGGGAAGTAATCAAATGTTGAACCCGCTTTTGATTGGTTAGTATGGATCTTGAATTTCGAAACTCGAATTTTGAATCTCGAATTTCGTATTTCGAAACTTGAATCTCGAATGAACCTTCTGGGTTTTCGTAATTATGCCACTGTAATAACACGCCTGGATTAGATTTATTACCACTGCAGTATAACTTTCCCTCTATTGCCCTGTAAAAGTCGAGAAAATAATATATGTTCCCTTTACTATCCATTTTTATGTATGCCCTGTAATCTGAAGTGTTTTAAACTCATTGTACTTGGTTGGTAAGGGTTGTGCAAGTCGTACATTTAGAAATAATTCCACATTTTTAAATTTGAAAAGGTGTGATTCTTATCAGTTGTACATCTTTACCCCCCCCCCCTCCCTCTATATGCCCTTTTCAGCATCCTTGAACAAGAATCAATAGCGTGCACAAATATTGCAATAGAATTGTTCACCGATCTTACAAAAATATGTTAGGTAGAAAAAGGTGTAGATATAATGTCCAACTGTCCATCCTTGAAAATATATAATATGCTGTCACATTATCAAATCTGTTGTGTAATTAATCTTGACATCATGCCTTGGTTCAATAGCAGGCAGCACACAACGTTTTTGGTCAAAATCATTCGGCTGTCTTTAAGTTAGAATAATTGCAATGCTTTTCCATAAATAAGGTAAGTATTCACAAGGTAAGTAAAAAGGGGTATCTTTATAATATGACCATAGCTTCTTAAATGATTATGGCAAAAATAAGCTTAACTATAAATGGCGCTGGTAAGTGGTGACAGAAGATGGGAATTGACGACCTGTCACCAATTTGTGTGACAGTCAATGGTGGGGGATGCTCTTGCGAGCATGTGGCGTTATCTTCAACCCCACCTCACATTCATATGAACGAGTGCTGTTATAACTCGTATGACATCTTGTGGCGCTATGTGCGCATTTACTTTGATTTCACACATTAATAAATACAATTTCAACATTTTTATTACCTGAATATGTTAATGGGGTATTGGCCGATTGAACAATATTGTATTGATTTAAAATTGATAACATTGTCAACGGGATATTGGCGCATTGTATCATATTGTATTGATTTTACATTTTTTGATGGGACATTGGCCCATTCATTTGACATGGATACTATTTAAATGGGATATTGGCCCAAGGTTCCCATTTTGCGTGGCGTTGTGCATTCGCCAAATACCCAGTGCACAATATTTAGCCCATTGGGGTCGCCACATTTGTTGTTGATTGTTGAGGAGACGACCCGGCGGCCGCTCTCAAATTTGTCATATGTCACCGCGACCAGATACGCCAAACTTCAAATAAATCCTATCAACTAATTAAGCGTTATTTTATATAATAACATCAGAGAAAATCGGTCTTTACTTTTTTATTCTGTCTAAACGAGTAATCACGATTTTTTGTGCTTATTGACTGGTTCGTAGCATCTGTATATTTCTATAAAGTTTATCAAATACCGTAGATACTTTAAAATACACTTAAAATGATTTATGTAGAATATTAATATTTCTGTTTTTTGCACACCCAGGTTGCGATTTCGCAATGAAAGGTTATATGATAATTGCGCTGCGCTGCAGACTGCGCAGGGAGATGCGAATTATCCTAAGGTGTAAAATGTAATATATTTCTCATAGCGGCAAAAATTGAATTATCTCTGATAATAATGTTTTCTGAATTTTTTCCGCATAATAAAACTTTTTGTTTCTACGAAAATCCTAGCTATTTCACCCCGAAGAACAATGACATAAAGGCAGATATGAAGTCCAAAGGCTTATTTAATCATATTATATTGTTTTTTGAATGCATTGTTCACTTTATATTTGGTACATGTATTCAGTGGGAGACTTTAATAAGGCCTATTTTAAAGCTATTATCAATTCAAGTAATTCTACTTTATAGATAAGTTTATTTCATGCATTTTTCAATTAACGTTAATTTAGCAAAATCGTAATTTTTTGTTGTCATGCTCTTTACTCTCCAATCTCATACGTGATACATCTGCGGGTTTTAAATCGTTTCGCGGTATGGGGAATTATGGCGTCACTCTTACTGCACAGTGCCAAAGCCGTGTATTTACCTCAAGGTATATGATAATTAGGTGCATTGAGTAAAGCAATGTTTAATTTTTTAAAAAAAAGATACCGAATACAATTCAAACTGTCTCTGGGAAGTCATTGTAAAGATATGAATTTTTTTTTTCACAAGAATGATGTATCTAAAATTAATGCAAAATAAAAAAAAATGGGTTCGACAAGAATGTAATGAACATGAGTATTTAAAGTCAAACACAACCACAAATGCTTTTGGGACAAATGAGCACAGTAATGAGTCACCACATCTCCGTTTTATTTTAGTTATTTTGTGAAATCATACACTCGAGGTGTTCGTGGTTGGAAAACACAGATCAGGGTAAAATATCAGTATAATGTTTTTGTTCAATGAACTATACATTTTTATCAAATAAAAGTTATTTCGAAATAGTCTAACTTTAGATATTGATCAAAAAGTTAACTTTTGAAATACATCTTTCTCTGATTAGAGAGAATGTCTTCACAGCCTCTAACCATGAAACTATTTATAAGGTGTAGTCATAGAAGGAAGATGTTAAAAATCCCAGATTCTTTGAAAAAATTATGCCATTCTTCAACTGCTACTGAGTTTTCTCTTAATTTTTAATGTCTGTACGGTTAACCAAATTTTTGATAAACTTTGAAGATATAGATGCAACTAAATGGTATGTACACTGAACCTTTCTTTGCTGTGCTTATAAATATCAAATTCAATATCCAGAAAATTAAGCAATTTTAAATAGTTAAGAGAAACTTTTAAATGAGTCCATGCAATAATCTTGAAATTTACTTTCGTGATCAGACAGTTCATACATGACTTTTGAAGTATTAAAGTAAGCAGTGGACTATGCAAGAATTGTTCCCTGATTAATTACGTTATTCATTATTTCAATAAGACTGATAACATTGTAGGGAATAAAGATGTATACTGTATATATGTAATCAAAATGTTTTTTAATCAGTATAAATAACTTATGATAACGTATAACGAATTATGGAATTTCTTCTCATTATTCATTTTTACAACAACAGTTATGTTATCATATTAAAGATTTATTGTTTCAGGAGGTATCTACTTCTCTCCTGATCCCTCCCCCTGGAAGGGAGAGTCCCTGTTCAAAGATCTGTATTTCTTCATTTTCTAATCTTGTAACATTAATGAGGGGCATTAGTCTATACTTCTAGTACCTTATACTCACAACTCTGACTCAAATTAAAATTGCCTTAATTTAAGCTCATTATACTGTAAAAACATATTTTCGTTGGCTAGGTCCATGATTTTATTGTCACAGAAAACGATCTTGTAATACGAAAGTCTTATATTTTTGGGAAAGAATTCATGGGTCACCATCACGAAAATTAAACCCCAAGAAGTATATAAAAAATTGAAAATGTATAGAAAAAAGAAATATTTTTATCAAAGGAGAAAAGCAGTGTCATGTTAATCATATTGATATTAACATATAACAAGGTGAAGATAGAGAACGTTTTACCGATCTCTTAAACATCTACAAAAAATGCAGATTTATGAGCAGCATATTAAACAAAGACCTCTGGAAATTAGGATCTTGTGCCTATTAGGAGTAAGCATCCCTTATTGACTGGTTACACCCGTCATGAGCCATATATGCATGCATCAGATAGACTTTCCTTAATCTGATTTATTAATTAAAAGAGAGGCCTTACAATTGGAATGAAGCACCTTGGACAACTTTCGGGCTAATGAAAGGATATATTTGCCAACAAGGTCATCATAACGATATTGAAATCCCTGTT